GAATCAGTTACAAAATGACATAAAAGAAAATAATACTCTTAACAATAACTTATCTAACTTCAATTTGGATGTAGATTAGGGGTCTCTTTAGGATCACGCTTCACCATAAAAAGTCATCGCAGGAAAAAGAAATGAATAATTTCTTAAATGAGATACATAAGAAAAGCGTTAATGAAAATATTATGTGACGCAATAAGGAAAAAAACTCCAGCGTGAATCAGTTAGCCAGAATAGCTCTTCTAATACTACTTATGTATCAGAAACTATTAACAATATTGAGAAAATGGATGTGCTTAAAATTACTAATTGTACTTCTTCAGAATTATCTCACGAAACAGAAGTCATTGAAGATATTGCGAATTCTGCTGTAGATTCAAACACTATTAATGACTGGAATGCTTCAGAAAAAATAAGGAAAACTATATCCTTGGGATATGATCAAAATGTTTCAGAAAATTAAGAAGAAATTGGGAAAACTGTATTCTTGAGATACGATCAGGTGGTTTTAGAAAGTTTGGAAGAAATCAAGAGCAAAACTGACTATCAAGATAAATCAGTAGTAAGATCAAGTATAGTAACTGAATTCATGCAAGATTTATTGGAAGAGCTACTCTTATCTGATAATCGACTTCTGAAAGATGTAAAGTTTTCTTCTTCCAAAACAATAATTCTCAGATTAATAAGTATTAAAAGACTTGCCAATTCATTCTGCCAAATAAATAGTACAAGAAATTACAGCTTAGCGTTTATTCTCACAAAGATTTGAAAATAAGGTCCTAAAACTTAGGTCTGAAAATAAGAAACTTATGGATAGGACTGCAAAACACAAATTTATGCTGAAATAAACCATACCTTACAGGTATTTCAGATGAATATTTACATGTGTGAACTTCTAGGGTGAGAAAAATTAAAAATTAATAAGTTATTTGGGTTTGATCCTGTAACTCTGAAAAAGATTAATGATATATCAGGGTATATGGTTAACTGAAACACCTGTAATTCTGACAGAATTTCAAAACTCACTAATCTTTAAATCAAATATATCATAAAACAGATCAAATCGAAGATAACCACTAGTCCTGTGAACAAAATCTCTGAAACTATGGCTACTACTTCAGCTTATGATTCTAACTCAGATGACTCTGATGCCAATGAACCTGACTCTAATGCCAATAAATCTGATTCTGATATATATTTCAAATCTGATGATTCTGACTCAGATGATGAGTATGATCATGAACTTCATAAAAGGCTCTAGTGTAAAGAAATAGCTCAATTAGCGAAGTTAGAGAAAAAATACTAATTAAGCCTAAAATAAATAATGACGATTTTGATAAAATATTCATAAAAGTTTACGAGAACTATGATATATATTTTGATGATCCTATATCTCAATCAGTAATGTTTCCTACCATCTCTCTGGTGATACTCACATTAACTGAATTGTTATTATTTTGTTTCTTTCATTTTTTTTGAATCACGTGAGTGGCTTAGATATCATGCACAGTAAAAATATCATTTATTCTTCTCTACAGTAATATACTGCTATACAGATCTGCAAAATATTCTATATATCATACACAATAAGTATATTATCTCTATACTTCTCCTATGATTTAACTACATCTTATGCTATTTTCGCAGTGTTTTTATTTTTAGATTCAGATATGCTATTTTCATAATAATGGCTAGAATAAAGATGGTACAGCAATTGATTTCAAATTTACAAAATGTTGCAACATAAGCTAAAATTAGTTGCAACATA